AGTGGGAAATAAGAAAAGTCTTCAGATCATTCCTTAATAGACTCCACAATCAGGGTGGATTTGATTTAAATCGAGTTGATTTAAATCACAATTTAAATCATGATTTAAATCACTAGTAAAAAGGCTTGATTTAAATCAACTCGATTTAAATCATAATTTTTAAAGAGCAACTGTCATCTCTGCTACTCCTTTGACCCACTGTTGACTCACCGATAGTCCCAGTGTTGCAGAATATACAGCCTCATTCTACATAACTAAGCTCCATTTCATGCTGAATAAACTAAATTATTTATGTATCTTAAATAGAAAACTATCTTACGACAGATTTTTACCCCAAAAGTTTTTTATTAAAATAAATTCAATAAAAATCAAAAAAATCCGATTTAAATCAAAAAATCTGATTTTTTTTATTTATTTTTTTTAAATCATTGATTTTTATCCACCCTGTCCACAATCATACAGTCCAGAATATATCCTTCACAATGACATCACTTCCCGGGTGGCAGAACTGACTTGCAACCAGCTTGAAGAAAGATGAAAAAATTCCAGCACCAGTAAATCATGTAGACAGCTTAGCCTAATTTATACTGTCAGCATTTCTCTCTTGAGGTCAGCACAGAGTAAAAATGAACCACATTCCTTAGTTGTTCATCTCTCAGTGCCTTTCCCATTAAGTTTTACTTAATTACTACCTCCAAAACTCAAATTCTTTATTGCAAGATGTGCTTAATTTTGCCTATCCCAAGTTTTGAAAACACTGCTGAAAAAGAGGCAGAAACTGAGGATGAGGCAAGGATTGGCTGAAGCAGCTGCCTAGGGAGGTTGAGAAATTTCTTGAACATTTTCTAAAGAAGATCAGACAGATATTTATTAGCAGCTGTTTAAAGTCTGAGCTAAAAAATCTACAGCTGCCTTGAAAATCTGAAATTACAAAGGCCTGTTCAAAGATAGAGCATACAACTCTTATGTTACTTTCTTGAAAAGATATATACTTCAGCAAGACGTGTAGTGCACCTTCCAAGCTGTATTTTAAACTGTTTCAAAATTTTCTGTTCCTTTCTCCAGTTTCCTCTTCCTTTTGTAAGTTTAATGTAGTGCAGCAAACACTAGTTTTTCAAGCAACTATATCTGATACCCACATTTTAAAAACCTACCTCATTCTCCACTATTTTCCTTTCTTTCTTTAATCTCCTGTTATTAGGCTGTATCAAGTTAATGGGATTTCTTAGAGACATCATCAAATGGAATCTAGTCTCAAAAACTGGTCAAGAGGGTACATCTTTGGATCCGAGAGAAAATAACTAGCCAAATATACACAGAGCTATTTATCTCCAAAACACTAAGTGCCAGGCAGAGTCAGGAAGGCTCATTTAGGAAACACCTCAGTTTTAAATACCAATTATTCCATCAACCAGTCTCATAAATATTTATGGCAGCTCAATACTAGGGTGATCAAGACTGAGTTTTAGACAGGTCATACAGAATAGTTGGAACCATTTCACAGCAGGGTACGAAGCCTTTCCCTATCACCATTTAAACATAATTGAAGCAAGAACCAATTATCAAAGGACAGCAAGAAGTCAAAGGAGAAATATAACAGCCACACATATAAATAAAACCATTGCAGACCTCTCACATCAGTTTTTCAGAAGTGTGTTCATATACTAGTTCATACAGTCACATCAGAGACACTCAACAGAGAAGATTTACTTGGCTACTCAAATACTGTATTTGTAAGATAAGTTTACATCCCCCACCCAAGGAGGATTAAAAGACCTTTTGGCCCCATTCCCCTGTCCAGCAGGGAAATGGGTAGCCTAAATCAGGAGAACCTGGTGTATCTTATGTCACAGCACAAAGAAAAACAAGTGCCAGAAAAAGTACCAGGCACGAACAACTGAGAGAGATATATCATGAAAAATACAATTAAAAGAAATCTATAGGAAGGCTAGAGCCACATCAAATGGGATCTGACAGGTAATCATGACCATGCTTTTTCTTGATTTCTGCACCAAGTACAGAGAAGACATGCTGGAATTCTAAAATAGGGCATTCACTCAAGTAAGTTTGCAGAATTTATAAGAAACAATGTTCTTGTCATGAAACCTCATCTACTTACCACAGAGATCAGGTACACTGCCAAGCTGACCAGCGTATGTAGCATTTGTTTATGATCATTTGTTTAACACCTGTTTGAAGTTATGATGGCACTGAAAAAAGTTACTTATGACCAGTCCTTGCACTTATGACTGTCATAGAGTCCCTGTGGTCATATGATCAAAATTTGGCTACTTGGCAACCAGTATGTATTTACAACAGTTGCAGCATCCCAGCTTCATGCAATTGTATTTGCAACCTTTCCTGGAAGGTTCTGACAAGCAAGCTGGGAGAAACCAGGCTCACTTAAGAACATTTGCTTAACAATCATGGCAAAAAGGTTGTAAAGTCAGGCATGACTCATTTAACAACCAGATCACTTAGTGACGGAAGTTCCAGTCCAAACTGTGGTCATATGGACTACCCGTATTGTAAGCAAATTCAGTCCAGAAATGACCGATTCCAGCTTGTAATGGTGCTCCAGCTCACAGTCTGCCATAATATGCCAAAGATAGATAAGATATACCACCTCCCCCACCCCCACCCCAAAGACAGCTGGGTGACTCTGGGCCAGTTACTCTCTCTCTGATCTAGGAAGAAGGCAATAGCCAACAACTTCCGAAATTTTACAGGAACTTGTCCAGGCAATCACGAGGAGTCAATACTGATTTGAAGGCGTGTGTGAGTGCACACACACACATGCAATGACACTTCCGTCAAAAAGTAGAAAACAGTGAACAGTATTGGATAAATTTGTCAACAGATTACTTGGTTTTCCTCAATTCCCAGAGGCCGTGTTTGTAAAAACAAAAATACAATAAATATGCATGAGTCATTCACAAAAATTATCCTTAACTTGCTTCAGTGTTTGTATGATTTAGCATATTAATCAATCCCAACCTGTCAATTAATTTATGATTCAATACATGAGAATCCAGTAAATGTATTCATTCCATAGCCAGGCTATACAGTATTTACTATATGTACCCAGAATATCTCATAAAAGATCTCAATTTCCAGATGTTGCATTGCTCTGAATATTTTATTGATGTGTGTGTGTGCGTGCATAAATGTGTATTTTAAATAAAATCATCATGCCTATAACAATTTAATATAAGCACCTATTTTCCAAGGGGAAGATGGAATGTATTAACTGGGATTTGGGAAAGTGGGATAATTTTTTTTTTTTACTTTAGGATGGATGAAATTGAACCAGCACCTCCTAAAATATGTGAATCATCTGTCTGTATCTGTGTAGCACTATCCTGATGAGTGACTTGACAGTCACAAAAATAAAAAACCATTTTCTAGGCCATCCAACCCAGTGGACCAGCCATTCTGCATTCCAAAAGTCTACAGAGTTACTCAGTGACCTCCGTACCTATGCGCTAGATCATGTATGAGTCTATGTGCTCTATACACAACTCCTTACTGAGCGGACTGGTTTAATTACACAAGGCATATATATTCACATATCTCTAATCAAGGCTAGGAATATTATCCTATCCCACAACCGATGATCGATGACTTGCTGGTTAAAAAAAAAAAAAAAATCACAAATGGCCTCGCAAAAAACAAGTCACTGGGACGTTCAGAACCTACTCAAGTTAATTTGCACCCAGTTTTGCAGAATGCCAGGCTTGGGATTTTTACTTTTCCTAACAGACTTTTTTTTTTCCCCCTCCCCAACTTCAATCTTTCTAAATTCTCCCCTTCAGTCCCGGACATTGGCGAAGAAGTCAGTGCAGGGAGACAGGCAAGACTCAAAGAAACTCCTGCGCCTCCAACTAGAAATCCCCGCATGGTCCACACCCCAAATTTAGAAACTGCAGACAGAGGCTGAGCCCGGGAGACACGCAAGGACTCAATTTCCCGGCTTCCACGGCAAGAAGTCCGAGTGCTCCTTCTGCAGCGACATCCGTGGCGCAGCAAAGAAAGCTGGTTTTATTCCCATTCCCCCCCCCCCGGCTTCTTCCACGGCTGCCCGGGGAAGATCGCGCCTTGCCACCTTTTCTCTCTCTCTCAGTTCTCAAGCAGCATCCCCATCCCCGAGGACGCTCTGCCGAGTCACGGCGGCCTGTAGCGCGCAAGCAGGTCCCCCCACCGGGCGAGGCAGGATCAGGACGCGGCCGGGACGTTTGCTCCAGCCGACAGCGCGCTCTCGCCGCCGCCGAGGAGCAGAAGCGGGATGAGGGCGAGCGGCAGCGCGGCCCCTCACTAAGGAAAAGACCACAGCACGCCGGTCCCTTAAGAAAGGCGAGCTGAGGCGGCAAGACCCTCGCAAGCGGCGGCCCTCCGGGAAAGGGGACCGAAAAGGGTCCCCCGAACAAGCGGAGGAGGGCCATGACGGGGCACTTTCCTCCTCCCCGATGCCCGCAGGCGGCGGGAAGGGGCTCCCTCTTGTTGTTGTCGCCCTCCCCAACCGCCTTCCCTTCACTCACGGCGGTGCCGGCGGCGCGGCAACGGCGGCTGGCTGGCTCCGTCTTTGCCCTCCCGCCGACCGGCCTGACTTCTTACGATAGCAGAGGCGGCGGCGGCGGCTCCTCCTCCGAGTCCGCACCGACAGGGTCGGCTTTGCGGGGAGGGGGAGGAGGCTCCCACGCATGCGCCGCCCCCTAAACAAGCACAGGATGGCTAGGCCTCATCTTCAACCCCGCCCTTCCCGCTGTCATAGCAACCACAAGGGGGGGAGGGCGAGTGATTTGCTGCTGCTCCCATGACAACCGAGGCGGGAGAAGTCCCGCCTACACGCTGCCCTCACAGTGCCCATCTCTTCGCGCGGTGTCTCTCTGACAGCTCGAGAGAGATCGCCATCCCGGTTGTGGCAAGATCCCTCAAGTGAGCCCTTGCGCGCAGGACGAACCCGCTCTTGTCTTTTGTAGCCACCTCTTTTCGGTAAAAGCGCTTCACCGTGATCCGAGCCTCCTTTTCTCTTGCGTTTTAGCAGTTTTTCCACGGATTTAAAAAAATAAAACACCGAGAACTTGGGAGTTTTGTACTCCTGACACCGTCTATTTTTTTTTTAAAAATACTTCCAGACTGCATAACCCTGAAAAAAATTATCTTATTGGAAGATATATACTCTGTCTATTCAACAATAGTTGAAGCCGCCTTGGAAATTGTAAATCCTCAGTTTGAGAGATTTTAGCTCATTGTACTGCAGTGGGCATTGTAATGCAATAGACAAAATACTTCTGTATACTGTATGCTTCTGTACATATGTAAATTCTATTGAAATCATGTTCAGTTCATCCTATAAGTTATGAAATACTGTCCAAAGACATGGCTTGATTTAGGCTTAGTACACCTTGACATCTGCAGTATCTTTCTTGGCTGCTAATGGGAACCTCTTTCGGAAGCACCAGCCACTGACCTACAAACATTAAAAGAAAAATTACCAGCAGCCTAGAGGAATGTCAGATAATGTTCTGTCCTTAAAAATAGAAAAAGTGGAATTAGGATATGTCATTTCAAACTTGGTAAGAGCAAAACAAGACCTATGCATGGCTGAAGTTAGAAACAAGAGGAAAACAAGTTGACAAGGAAAAAGGTGGATCTTCATAAAAGCCAGGTGATGATTATGATGATAATGTTTCATGACATTCCCCTCTGTTAAAAGCCTTTTGACGAAACAGCTCACATTTTTTGCCTTTTAAAAGAACAATTGTAGAAACCTATGTTGCATACCAATGCCAGGGTAGAATAGCTCCCACCTGATTGCCTTAGGAATTCTGGGCATTGTCGTCCCAAAACATCTGGAATGTATCGTATTGAAGGCTGATGTATTACATCATAAACCATGATAAAATAAAAGTTTTTATAAATTATTCAGATATTAGTGAAGTCATGCTAATCTAATCCTGTTAACCTTTTTTTTGGGACAGGACAGCTATCTTGGTTGAGAAAAATAACAAAGGATTTTATATTAACCATTTCACTGGAAGCCAATGCTGGAAGGACCAACAATTTCATATTCAGAAAGAAAATTATCAAGACTGGTACAGGTAGTCCTCGACTTAACCACCACAATGGGGATAGAATTCCCTTTCTAACTGAGGAGGTTAAGTGAGTTGCACCCAATTTTACAATCTTTTTTTTTTGCCTTGGTTGTTAAGTGAATCACACTGTCATTAAATTAATCTGACTTTCCCCATTGACTTTGCTAGTTGGAGCCAGCTGGGAAGGTCGCAATAGATACCAGTTGCCAAGCACTTTAATTTTGATCGTATGACCACAGGTTGACCACAGTACAATGGTTGTGTGAGAACCAGTCATGAGTCTCTTTTTTCAGTGCCATCATAACTTGGTTTTGGTCACGAAATATATGGTTGTAAGTTGAGGACCAACTGTTTGAGTATAAACTGTTTCCAGATCAAAGATGGGATGTGGCTATTTGTGTGGGGAAGGCAAAGAGCTTTAACACTGCACAGAGGCATATTTTCTTGTTGACATTATTTGCCATTATAAGCCCCAGTGCCAAGTCTGAAATCTGGAACAAAGTTCATAGTTTGAACCTTTTCTAATTAAGTTATGCATAGGCGAGTTCACAGTGATTAGAAAGCTATAAACAAAGGTAATAAAGCCGGCAGAGCATGAGGAAGGACAATCTGGAGTTCAGTGCAGTGCAGCTTTTTTAGAATTATGTCAACTGAGGAGGAAAAATGTTTGCAACATTAGTGGGTGAGACATATTGGAAGGAATTGCAAGAACCTTTGGACTGAAGGCAATGACAAGAGAGCCAGTTTGGTATAATTGTCAAGGCACCAGACTAGAAATTGGGAGACTGTGAGTTCAAGACCCACTTTAAGCACAAAGCCAGCTGGGTGACTTTGGTCCAGTCACTCTCTCTGAACCCTAGAAAGAAGGCAATGCAAACCACTTCTGAAATCTTACCAATAAAACTGTAGGGACCTATGTGGTCACTTTCCAGGAGTCCCCTCTCCTCCCTCCCTCCCTCCCTCTCTCTCACACCACACCCACACATAATTGGCAATAATATTAAAGTATGGAATGCAGTGGTTCAGTGGCTAAGATGCTGAGCTTGTCGATAGGAAGGTTGGCAGTTCAGCAGTTCGAATCCCTAGTGCCGTGTAATGGAGTGAGCTCCTGTTACTTGTCCCAGCTTCTGCCAACCTAGCAGTTCGAAAGCTCGTAAAAAATACAAGTAGAAAAATAGGGACCATCTGTGGTGGGAAGGTAACAGTGTTCCGTGCGCCTTTGGTGTTTAGTCATGCTGGCCACATGACCACGGAGACGTTTTCGGACAGCGCTGGCTCTTCGGCTTTGAAATGGAGATGAGCACCGCCTCCTAGAGTCGAGAACGACTAGCATATACAGTATGTGCGAGGGGAACCTTTATCTTTATAGAACAATAAAAATTTACACTGCAGCTAAAGAAGGGATGGAATCCACCTTAAGCTTTCTTTTCTTCAAAACTGCTACTAAAAGATCATTGAACATTGCAAGATTACACGAAAGTCTGATCCCCTTACTTTATGTTACATAGTTTTCTTATGAATTTTCCTAAGATTTCTATAGAAATATGGAATATGTATTTTTTAAATGTTTGTAATTTCTCTTAAATTATGTAGGAGTTTGTGGGTATGCCTGCATAATATTGTGCAATTCTGCTTGTTTCCTCTTTTTGCTGCCTTTTCATTGATTTTCATTATCTTTCTGGTTTATTTCCTACAGCATTTTATCTCAATGTGTTCTTTTAAAAAAGCAAAACATAAAAGATAGCATATTGGATTTTAGGAAGTAGAAATAAAGGAAGTAGAAATAAAGGTAGGCACTCAACTAAGGGAGGAATCCTGGAATGCATTTGAATGAAAAGGATGGGCCTGGTTTGTTAGCCCAGTTTTGCAAACTAGCTTTTTGTCTTCTGCCTGAGTTTTGCATTCATTTGTGGGATTAGGGGATAAAAGGCAGGGAGACCCTGAGTAAATCTACAGCCTCCAACTCTTTCTCCTCTTAGTAACATTGGAAACAACACAGGTCCTTCCTAAAAAAAGAACTGAGTCTGGTCATTTCTATTCTCTTGTAATTTGAGCTCTGAGATATAGATGGAGCAGGAGCTTTATAGAGCCTGGATAGCTCTGCAGACTAAGCACTGTAATTTAACACCAGCTGTCTGCAATTAAAGTAAGTTCGAATCTTGCCAGGCTCAAGGTTGACTCAGCCTTCCATCCTTTCTAAGGTAGGTAAATTGAGGACCCAGTTTGTGGGGGCAATAAGATGACTTTTGTATAAAATATACAAAAGTATGAAGGCTATTGCTTAATGCACTGTAAGCCGCCCTCAGTCTCCGGAGAAGGGCGGCATATAAATCAAATAAAAAAAAACAAATTAAAAAAAAACTAAAGACCTAGTTGCCCTGCTCATTTGAAACACAGCCATCAACACTCCTGGTGCAGAAACAATAGAGCAATGGGATCCCTGAACAAGAGTGGAGGAGACAGTCATACTATCTATACTTCTGGAAACAGAAATTGTGAGAAGCAGAATATTCATCCCTCATGTCATCTCTTCATGTCCCTTTTATCACCAATAAGCACGGCAAAACAAAATTGAACAGAAGGGCAGTGTTAAAAATCAAGCCCTGGTTCTTATCTAACTCAGGTAGTGCATCATTAAATATCTGTAATAGAAGATAAAAGCATTCTCTTCATTAAGATCTGGAAGGCAACTGCAATCCTCTCTTTTGCCTATCTACACCAAATAGAACAGGAAGAATGTTTGTGTCTGTTTTCTCTACAATCTTGCATGTCCTTTGGCATGGTTTTCCCGTCAATATTTTGAGATACCAGGAAAATACTTAACCTTAAATATCTCCATTTGAAAGAATACTCAGAAGTGGTGTATATCAGCCTGTTTCTCTCTTTCTTGAACAACAGATCTGAGAATAAGTTACCAACACTGGAATTGTTTGGATTCAGTCTCCAAATAGTGCTTCAGAGTATGAAGGAATACAAACACCACACTGTCTAAAACATATACACAGATGCAGCTGGTCCTGAGCTCAAGCAGTTTCCCTCTATAGTTGCTGCAGGATTCTGAGAAAGCATGAAGCTACTTTAAGGTGTTGCAGATAGGAAACAGGTTTGCAGCCCAAAGCCTGTAGACAGTGCATAGCATAGCATAGCCATAGCATTCAAAACAGAGGTGAACACTATTATTAGAGAAAAAGTTACAGCAGCAAGAAAAATGAAGGAGGTTGCCTGATGTTCGTAATGAGCTGGCAAAATTATGTTAATGTCGTTTGATGGATCAGTGAGACAGAATGCTGAAAAATATGCTTGCTTCATGGAGATAAAGTTAACCTGAGTAAGTTTGGAGGCAAATATATCAGGTACACTGAAAGCTGATGGATTTTCCAAGTTTGCATGGAGTCACTGTGACATTTTATTAGGGCTGTCATCCCCAATTACAAATATCTAGATGACCAAGCAGATGGGACCAAAACATGCAAAGTTTTATGCACTTCTTTGCTATCATTGGGTATTTGCAGCCCAGATAGGCTAATCCTGATAACACATCCTGATAATATCCAGATAACAAATTCTAATATTGCACATGAAAGCCATGGTGGCACAGTGGTTAGAATGCAGTACTGCAGGCTACTTCTGCTGCCTGCCTGCAATTTGGCAGTTCGAATCTCACCGGGCTCAAGCCTTCTATCCTCCCGAGTTTGGTAAAATGGGGACCCAGAATGTTGGGGGCAATATGCTGACTCTGTAAACTGCTTAGAGAGGACTGTAAAGCACTGTGAAGTGGTATATAAGTCTTACTGCTATTGCTATTTTACTTAGAACTTTGAAGAAATGCCAGGGCTGATAATGGAGTAGGATTACAATTGTTTCCATGTTGAACACATCTACTTCTTTTCATGCTTAGGAAGAAGCCCCTGAAGCAATCTGATTTCTGAGAGGTATGTCTTATGCTCATCCACTTTATTGAAAGAGGAACAATGGACAGAAGAAAATCACTGTTATTTAGTGACTTCTCATGATGATTGTGAAGAGCGAGTTTAAAATAAATATTTCCTGAATGACAGGCTAACACAAATGTATCCGGTTACAACACAGCAAGCATATACAACTAAGCTGCTAGACTTTCACTTCTATGAATTCAAGTTGGGAGGGAAATGGAAAGGTCAAACTTGGTATAGAGCCAGATTTGAGACACTCAAAGTTCAGAGTTGGTGAGCTTATCTGGCAACGGGGCAGCAACACTTTTCTAGATGGCTATCAGCCTTTAAAGGCTAACTAGGAAACCAAAATCATGTGGACCAATGTTACTTTTATTGTAAAGTTATACTGACAGAATCTTGCAAATCTGAATGTGTCAGCACAGTCCCACCCTTTACTTTCGTGTGAACTAAGGAAGGGACTGTCTGAGTTGTTTATGCATTCTACAGTTTTGCCCCAAACTTAGATTCCTTTTATCTGGCCTTTGCCTTAGTAGCAACTCTTCCTCTTGTAACAAATGAAGGCAAATATATGTGTCCCAGGATAATGTTGCAGGATCCACCCTGGGTCAGTCACTGGGACCAGAGGTTTTGTCTCCTTTCCTGCTGGTGCCCATCCTCAGGGAACTTCTCTGTGTGCTTTGGGCTGTTCTGTGTGTGGTATTTATATGGTGCCTGTTGTGTGTAGCTTTTTAGATGTAGATGGGGGAGTTGATGGGTGGCTATTAAGTCCTTGGTTGTTGTTTTCTTGTGCTGCCAAGCCCCTGCCTCCTAAGTATTTGATAAGATGGGGGTAAATCTTCCTCTTGTCTCTCAAGGCCATTTCTCTATTCTTTACAGTGGCTGAATTCATAGAATGAGATGGAGTAATGCTACATCAGGAGCCTTACAGGGAAACTGAAAACACTGGTGCTGAGCACCCAGTTGCTAGGCTGAATACATAGAAAGGATGGAAAGAGTTCATTAACAAGACCTACCCAGACCTGCAAGCTTTAGCTGTCCAAACACAGAGAGCACTAATCAGGGTAGGCCTTAAGAAGTACAAAAATATGTGAATGAATGAGAATACTTCTGAATTCTTTTATTTTCCTATTTATGTTTCTTTGAATTTTCCATTTGGCATTCTTTGTTTTGCATAGTATAAAACTTGAACATATAAAGTGCTGGGCACATTCACACAGTATGTTACTTGGTGGTGAGGTAGGTGGGGCATAAATTTAATAAAAATTAATAAAAATATGCAGTTTGCTTAGTATTAACTTTGGATTTTTTGTCTGTCTTAGTGTGTACATGTTTTATTTGATTAGATTATGGTTTATTGTGTTGTATACTCTCAGCAAATCGATTAATTCAGTAATCTAGGTTAAATATTTTGTGACTACAGCCATTTTGTCATTTTATGGTGGGGAAATAACCTTTAAAATTGGAGGTGGGGGAGTGTTTACTGTTTGGTGATGGAAGGTAGAGATCCACATAGACCGATTGTATAGAGATCTTATGCTTAGTGTAGCACAACATAGATAGTTCAGAGAGTTTTACTGCCTTGGTCTGCCCTTGGGACTCCAGAATATTTCATCATATGGGACTCCAGAATATTTATAAAAGCAGAACCAGTGAAATTTAAACCTAAGGAAAAAAGAAGAGAAAGTGAAAGAAATTTCATGCCTTTCAATCCCAAAGAGGCAGTATTCGTAGGACTGAGACAGTTATGCCCCTGATGAACTCGGGGTTCTGTTTCTAGTCACAGAAACATACTCTTAACTTCCAATTATTAATGAATAATTTAGCTGCAGTCTCTCACTTGGATCTGCTTAGAGGACTTTTTGATGTTTTGTGCATACACGTTTTCTTTTATAGTTATGTTTCAGAATAAGCCAGACTCCCTGCTATTCTGATCATATTTTAAGAGCATGCCTTGAGAAAGCATACAAGTGCTGCTTCATTTTTCCACTGAGGTCTCCCATTCCTTCTTAAGAGTTCATATCATGGAAGGAGACGCTCTATGCATGATCTTCTAAGGGCAGGAAAGATAGAAGGATGAACAGAATTATAAATGCTGTGTTTTCTCTCTAGGAAATGAACCATAGAAAAGAAAGTGCTACTGAATTCATCAGACCAAAAGCAGAGCCAGTGAAAGGAGCAGCAACCTTTCTACAGGACAAGCTACATATAGTTGTGTGGTGTATGTGTTTCTGAATATAAAGGTGATCAGCTTCTGCTCTCTGCTTGAAATCACTCAATTTCAAATACACTTGCACAATTTGGCTCAGTGTGTGGAATGCACTTCTTTGTTCCCAAGTGTTTGGGGCTCCACGAGACTCTAAAAAGCACTGTTGTAAGATACGAAGATTTTCTGAGGCTGCATTAAGGCAGAAACTTACAATGTGCCATGCTACAGGCTTTCCTCCTTGAGAAGAAACTATCTTGTCTCTTCTGTTTGAGAGGACTGAGGATTATTGAGTCTGTCATCTGCACCTCTATAACTGTCTGGTTTGGTTCTGCAACCCAACAACACAGACACAGACTTCAGAGGATAATTAGAACTGCAGAAAAAACAATTACTAACAACCTGCCTTCCATTGAGGACCTGTATACTGCACGAGTCAAAAAGAGGGCTGTGAAAATATTTACAGACCCCTCGCATCCTGAACATAAACTGTTTCAACTCCTACCCTCAAAACGACGCTATAGAGCACTGCACACCAGAACTAGACACAAGAACAGTTTTTCCCCCGAACGCCATCATTCTGCTAAACAAATAATTCCCTCAACGCTGTCAAACTAGTTACTAAGTCTGCACTACTATTAATCTTCTCATCGTTCCTATCACTCATCTCCTCCCACTTATGACTGTAATCTTGTTGCTGGTATCCTTAATATTTATATTGACTGTTTCCCTATGACTATCATTAAGTGTTGTACCTTATGATTCTTGACGAATGTATCTTTTCTTTTATGTACTCCAAGAGCGTATGCACCAAGACAAATTCCTTGTGTGTCCAATCACACTTGGCCAATAAAGAATTCTATTCTATTCTATTCTATTCTATTCTATTCTATTCTATTCTATCTCTACTCTACTCTACTCTATTCTATTTCTATTCTATTCGTTGCAAACCCATCATCAATTTTTACCTTATTATTTACCTGGGCGAGGGGATCTAGTCCCCTTCCAAGGCCATTACTACATGGCAATCCCAGATGGGAACCTTAGTTATTTTCTGAAGGGAATGCTTGAAAAATGCCAAGCAATCAATGAATACATTGTCCAGCCTGGGAACTGATAATTATGAATCAAGTGGTCAAAGTTTCCACATCTTAAGGAATTTTCCACATTAAGATATACTTGGGCGGAGGGCTGGAGCAAATGTCTACATGAGATTGTAAATCAGTGTTGGAGTATGGATGTGTAGAAAATCTGGTTTAAGAATCATTTCCCTGATATAGTACCCGTATTGACAAGATATTCTGGATTTAATTGGACAAGCTTAGAAACTGGCAATACTAGATTGACAAGAGAGCTTTCAGGCTGGCAAAAGATCTGCCTCTATATGTATATGAGAGAATAACAGAAATTAAAATGCAAATATATTTATAAAATTCTAAACGGCATGAATTTGAAATTTTACCATTTACCACACATGCCTGCCCAATTTTAAATTAGTATCAAGAAGTTTTCCTCTTGATTCGCTACCGCTTGAAATGCACAAGTCTACAGAAAGTGGTCTAGATTGTGGTACTGTGTTAGTGGTGATCTGTTGTTCTTAAAAAAAGTACCTGTTTTGATTGTTTTGGTGTGAAATGAAGGCAGTTTTAAACAACTCCAAGATATTAGCAGGTTGCTATAGCTGATGCTTCAATAATTATATAATGTTTAAGCTACATCAATATTAAGGCACCAGAACTTGCAGCACTTACCAATTCACCCCCAAATGCTAAAGGAGCTCAGAACTGGTTGTTACTTGGATGGAAGACCACCAGCAGGAAATCCTAGGAACCTAGGCTACATTGGGAAGAACATTCTGGCAGAAGGCAGTGGTGAACCACTTCTGTAGTCATTAAATATGTTTTTCTTTTTTAAGGCTTCTTCCAACTACAGGTACTAAGTGTCAGGTGCATGGTTTCCATGTTGAGGTTCATCTTCTCCTTCCCTGCGATGCCAAAAGACTGCTTCTGAAGCACAGACCCAAAAGCTTTGTATCATGAGAACAATCTTTAATGAGGAAACATATGCACTGCAGGTGCTAAAACAGTCATTACAAGACTATTCCAACATGTAACAGGGCAGGGCTGGCTGCGTTCACAAGCCGAGTCCTCCATCGCGGTCCTGGGAGCTGAGGACTCCGTCACGCCTGGCCACCCAGCTTCATATACCTATGGGTACCAACTATTGAGGGAAAAGTGCACAAGGAACAGTTCACATTTCACGCTATTTCAGAGGGAGGCATTAATGGGCCGAGGGTGGGGAAACGGAGGCTTCATGAGCCCCAACAGTCAGCCAGGTGGGAAGGTTAGCACCATCAGGTTGGGAGAGGATTGGAAGGAGGTTTCAGAGCACACATGCTTCTCTCAAGATATCCTCTGGCTTGAAAGGCCAGTGAGTAGTTCAGACAGGAAATCCCTCCATCCCTCAACATGGAGAGGAGAAAGACTCTGTCTCACTGAGTATTAAAGGAATCCTTTATCCCCAAGCTCAGAGTAAAGAAGGTGGCTGGTGTGAGAGGATGGAGAAAGCGGATTCAGCCAACCCACACCAATCCCTTTCTGTTGACGGGGCTGATGGGAATCAGTTTCTGCTCTGGTAGCTCCTCCTTTGCAAGATGAGGAGAAGAGGCACTAAAGGGACGGGGCAACTAGGTTCTGCTGCTCTTTCGCCCTATCTCCAGGCAGTAGGGGTTAGGATTATGGTCAAGAGGCTGATACACTTGAACAGAACAAGTTCTCTCCCTGGACAGAGACGTCTAAGAGATTGGGAATAGAAAAGCTTCAGGATATTCCAGTACTTTAAAAGAAAAAAAAAAGCTACAAAGAATGAGCCATGAAGACAGTTGCTGTTTGATATAGGCCAATGGGAAGAGTAAGACAAAACTTCTTGGCTACTATCCTCCCCCCACTCTAACCGTAGACTGTATTGTCCTACAGGAGCCAACAGGACAGCTCTTTCTCCTATAACTGAGTGTGTGCCCAACATTCATTTTTACTTGGGATACAGAAGAAAAGGGTATCATTTGAACTTGGCCATCTTTTATACAGTCCTCTCAAGAGCTTTCAGTTGAGAATATGTAGCAAACCCAAACAAAGGGGCAGAAGCTCACAACTGTTAGCGACATTGTCCTATGAGACAACAGAGATAAAGGAGGTTTGTCTACCCTTGGGTAATTCTTGGCTGACCCTCTTCCCTTTGCACAGTAAGTACAATGCCTGAATGGGGACCTCTGTCCTCCAACCCAGCTGAGCCCCACCCTAGCCTGGCCCACACACCTCCCCCTTCTATCCTACTGCTAGCACACAAAGCACCTTTATTTCAGTATTTTTTTCCACGTGATGCACAAACAAGTCAAAATGTCACTTATCCAAAAACCCAACGTGCAAAACAGAAAGGAACCGGCACAGACAGGCCCCCTTGGCCCTGTCCCCTCCCCAGGGCTGCCCCCTCTTCCCCCACAGTACTTGGGGGAGCTCCCACCTTCTCTAGGAACAAAGGCAGGTCCTCCCTCGGTGCATCACCCGGCACTTAGTGCAGCTGTGGGGTGAGGAGAGGGATAGGGCCCTGTCGTCTCATTCCCAGAGGGGAGCAGGTGACTCTGCAGGGCACGGCATTGGGTGCAGGCAGCAGAGCGCTTGCCCGTGTCAGTGGCTCCGGTGAAAAGTGTGGCTGCCATGAGCTTGCAGGGTGTTGGTGGCAGCCAGGCAAGTGGGGGTGGAGATGGTGTCCTTAGTTGGGGGACAAGTCTGGAGGGCAGCTACCAAATGCCACTAGACCTGCCTCCGGGGGGGAGCGAGAATCCGGGCCGAAGCTCGCTTTGGAACATGGTCATCGATTTGAGAACCTGTGGCAAAAAAGGGAGACAGAGAAGGTGCAGGGTCAAAAGCAAACTGGCAAGGAGAAACCACATCCTATTCATCCTGTCCCTACAGGATCATTACAAAGACCAGGAGAAATATCACCCTGCATTTATCATTTAATTTTTGTAAAATAATTTATTTGAAATCATCTTCAGTAGAAAACAAAATAGGACATGTGTGAATGAAAGGATAGAGATGGGTTGGCAGTCTTTCAGATTAGCTTTGCACAGCAGATACTCCCTCCTGTGATCCATGAAGAGAGATTTCAAAGAGTTCCTTAACATTATTAATAAAGTTTTGTGAAAGTCCACAATTCTTGATTGTGGAATTTCCAGCACCCAGCTCTGTAGAGTAGAACCCATAGATTCCCCCTCCCCCAGTTTCATCAAAAAGGTATTGCAAGTAATATATATGATCTGGAATTGGAGGAACTCTCTGTGATTCTCTTGTCATGGTCAGATCATGACCTGGTAACCTTGCTGACTAATGGACCCAGAAAGGTTCCAGAGGGAGCCAGGGGTTGTCCTAGCAGTCTACTGCACTATGCAACTGAGACCTTAGAGCCGCTTGGAATGAGAAGGCGGTTTTGGCCATGGATTGGATTGTACCCATGTGACCTCTCCTTCCCATGGATCCCATTGCGCTCTGTGGTTTATGAAGGAGCTGAGGGAAATGAAATGAGAGAAGACAAGGCCACTGTAGGACACCGAAGGATTAATTCAACCAAACAGGGATAAAAGCCTCTATTGAGGCCTATCTTGTGGTAGTAGGGGCAGTGAAACAAAATTTCTCTGCCCTTATTGTGTTTGTAGAATGCTGTCGAGGGGCCTTGTTTTGGGTGACCTGAACCCTTCTGGAAAAGGAGAACCCAGAGATTAATCAGCAAGGTTGGGTGAAGGAATTTTCAGAGCCTCTGTCAGACAAAATGACTCAGATTCGTTCCCAGTTAGATACCAGCCTTGGTGCAGATCTGATGGAGATGCCTAGGGCATAGTCTTTCTTATTCTGGGAATAAAAATCTGTTGGGCCCGAGGAAGAGGACAAGGACATTTTAACTGCAAGATCAGCCACCTGCTCCCTCCTGCTGCACCTGCCCCTCCCATCCACCCATCCCATCAGGTACAGCGGGGGGCTGCTGGGTCCCATCTGCGAAAGAACTCCCATCAGATGGGTCCTAGAGCCTTTTCTGTTGCAGCAC